GTAGAGTTTGTGTCTTTAACTGGAGAATTAAAACATGACTAAAATTGCCAATCACCCTTTATTGAATGCTTAATTCTAAGCTGATTTGACAGGCTACGAGGGTAGTCACAACAGCAACAAGAGAAGGGAAAAGTGTCCTGCCGCATTTTATTCACTTTCATTCAACTGTCTTGTTTTTCACTTGAAGAAGCTGACAGTGTCCCTGCCAGGATACAGTGAGCACAGTGTTTATTTGTGTCTTCCATTCCAAGATTTGAAGTACAGGTGGTTTCTGTGCCCACTTTGAAGGTGGAGAAGGAAGTAGTTCAGCAGATGGGGACTTGAAGACTTCCCTTTTGGGTTTCAAATACAATACGAAGCAAACTATGACGTTAACCAGCCATGATTCTTTGCAAGGGTCAGCTGGTCTTGACTGAGTCTGTGTCCTTGCCTCGAAGTACTCCTGCTCTAACATGGATTATGTGAAAAGGAGTCTGATGCTGTGCTGTCTATCCACTAGTAATTCATTTCCAATACCTGCTTCTCTTTCAGGATAATAAACATCACGTTGACTAGGCAATCCTTTCCCAGCTGAAACCTCCACTTGAGTTTTCTATGTTGACCCTGCGAGTGTAGCGTTTTCATTTTAAGTCACTTCGCCAGTGTTTGGACTTCTTGCTTGGGGGGAGCTTTTTTGTTTGTTTTCTTTTGAGGATTTTGCTCATTTGCTTTCACTGTTTGGGCAGCACAGTGAATAAGGGCAGGTTTGAATGTTGATGGGTAGAAACATGGCATGACAGACACATTGTGAACATCAATAAATCATTTTCATTCCTTTTCTGTATAGAACAGAAAATATATTCACTTTTCATGTGACGCAGAGAAAAAACAGATAACCAGTATTTATTAAATACCTATAACTTGTTTAGCACCTATTAGAGGCTCAGTATTACTCAAAGGATTGCAACAAATATAGAGAAACAAACAGAATTACAGTTTCAACCTTCAAAGTATTTGTCACCTTGTTCAGCTGGCAAGATTAAGTGGCAGTGGAATCACAAGGAATGACTAAATGATGGGCAACTAAGTATTAATCCCTAAATGCTAGGTCAAGGTGGGTCAGGATTGGAGGGAGCTTAGTGAGTGAGGTAGATAGTATTTCTTTCAAATACTAGAGAAATGGTTTTAATGGCTGAGTATGAGCTCTGAGTCCAGACAAGGTGAGAGGTGAAGGCAGCATGTTTGCGTCCACTCTTTTCATCTGGAGTCTCTTCGCATATAGTAAGACATGTTTCCAACAGCTTGATAATCTGCATTTAGCCATCCAGATTCTCCTCGTGGTTCCCATTATAGCCAGCACCATCTTTTTACCAGAATGAGAGCCAAGAGGAAGGGCGTTGTAAGCCAGGGGCGTCGTTTCCTTACCACGTTTCTTGTGCTTGCTCTCCTTTCTGGTCCCTTCCTGATGTCAGAAACCCAGGTTCCCACTCACTGTCCTGGGCCACACAGGGTACCAGGGCCTCTCTTTCTTTCATCTGGCTCTTTTATCCCAGCTTACCTCTTCTAAGGCCTAGTTCCTCATATTTCATGATGGGAAAACAAAATTCTGTAGACAAATTTGAGGGTTGGTAGTACACCAATGTGGGATAATTTCCAAATTATGTTTACATTTTACGTGGAATTCTGTTACTTAAACTGAAAAGAAGGAGTAAGGGGAGACTGCAGACCATGGGGTGAAGTCACTGTTGCCTGAGAGAAAGCATTCCTTTGCCTCTCAAACTATCTAGATGGAGATGTGCAGCAGGGCTAGCTGGGATGAGATGGTGAAAAGGTTATTCTACACCAGGAAAGAAAGCTGGGCATTGTGGACTAAGCATGAGGCCCAGAACCTCCTTTTCAATGACAAAGCTCCCACAAAGAACAAAACATACCTGGTTTCGAGATGGCAGCTAGTCGCTGTGTCAACTTTTTCTGAAGGGAGGTAGACAGACTATCATTTGGGTTTTCTTTGTATGGAATGAAACAGGGAGCTAATTTGAGGGGTATCTTTCAGACTTAGTCTGCTCACACTTGGACTAATTCACTCATGACTTTACAGCTGGGTTGGCCTAAAGGAGGGTTCTTAGCCAGGAATGGGAAGGAAACAAGAGAAGCCCAGGGAAAGAAAGGGAAACTGGTCAAAGTTGATAGGAGTTGTAGGAGGGGCCCATATGTCATCGAAGTGGCAGCCAGGAATGAAGAGAAAACGGATGTGGAAAATCCAGGTGCAATGGGACCTGGGACAGGCTCTGGCAGCCGCGGTGACAATCAACTGCTAACCCCGCAGCAGTGGGGCCTCTCCAGGCAAAGATCCGGACAGCAGCCTGAGGAGGGGGGTGCCGTGCAAAGGGACAGCAGAGGCTACATCAAAGCCTGGGGCACAGACTGTGTGTGGTGTTCTTGCTAGAGCTGAGTCCCTGCATCCTGCCACCGATGTTAGCCATTAGCCACACAGCTGAACAACTGGCTGACCTACGGAGAGCCTTTTGGTGACTTTGGGTCTCCTCACCAGCCAGGTTTGACAGCTCTTTCCTGATTGGTCCTATACTGTGCTTTGTTTGCATGCACACATACCCAGGCAATCAGAACCCACCTGGTTGTATATAACAAGGTACATGCGGGCTTTTCCCAAATGCAGCCCCCAGCTAGCTTGGCAACGGGTGCTCAGCAGGCTCCCTGCCCAGGTGGTGCTGGGAGTGAGGGCACTCTACATACTCTGCTCTCTTCAGAGGAAGAAGCCCGAAGACTCACCAACAGCTCCTGGCCAGAGTCTGTTTCTCAGCCTGTCCCCAACTCTTGCTGGGAGCTTAGCTTCTAGCTGGTCCTCAGAGAAGCTGCTGGTGAGACCTGCAGGAGACCTACGGCAGGCACCGGAACTTGCTTAGTTCCCAGTACGCTTACTCTTGCTTCAAGATCATCAGTGCTGCCTTAGCATCCAGGACCTGCTACTTGTGTTGCAAGCAGGGGCTTTCTCCAGCTACTGAGACACCCACTGCCCCGGCGGTTCTCGTGGGTGACCTGCTCCCTGCGGACTTGCTCTGCACGGGACTACTCCAGGTCGGTATCCTGAGACCTTCTGGGAGTTTGGAGCTGTAACATTTGCTGGCAGTCTCGGCTGGTACCAGTAAGTCTTGGCTGGCATTCTGCTGCCCATGGAGGGTCTCAGCAGTCCTCTGTCCCTGCTCCAGGTTCTACTCTCCTGTTTACATTGTTATTCCCACAAGGGTGTAAGTTCCCTCCGTTTGCTCACCCCTCGTTGTCTGCCCACTCCATTCTCGAAGGGAGGGCAAGACAAGAGTCCAGGGCCAGAGAATTAAATGTCCACCTCGAAAAGATGCACATTTTGTTTTGAAAGATATGCTTACTTCCTTGGCTATAAACTTACCTTGAAAATGTTTTAGAGTTGAAGACAATATTACTTATAATGAAAATAATTTGGGGGCTGGAGAGATGGCTCAGTAGTTAAGACACTGGCTGCCCTTGCAGAGGATGTGGGTTCAATTTCCAGCACCAACATGGCAGCTCACAACCCTCCTAACCAGTGCCCTCGTCTAACCTCCACTGGCATTGCACCACATGGGTCCACTTACATACATGCAAGCAATACACTCATACACATAAAATAAAAAGTAATAAACAAAATATAAAATAAAATAATTCTTGAGAGCCCCCAAGATAAGACTTAAAAAAATAGTTAAAGTCACTGTTCTGTTCAAATTCTGGTAAACTTAAAAACTTCACAGCACAGGCAGCATCCTAGGGACTTTGTGTGGGAGCCATTCTTCAGAATCCCTGGTATCAGCTGCACTGGCCCCCTGGTGACTGGCCAGGCAGCCCTGCTGGGGTTTCATAACCTTGCTCTTTCTTGGCCTTCGTGTTTTCCCTCTTGCAGTGACACATTTAGCTGTTCTGACTCCAGAGCAGGTATGGATGGCCTCTTATTTCCCAGCAAGCCTTGCAGATCTTCCCTGCGTCTCATCTCCATCTATATCTTTAAAGTCAGACTGAGGAGAGAGAGCAGGACTATGCTGTTCCTCCATAGCTATTGTTGCTCTTGGCAGGGGACCACCAGGAAGCTAGCTATGTGCTACTTAAGCTTAAATACTACAGCTCACTCTACCCAAGAGCAGTTTAAACACAAAAGCTGAAGTAGATTATGCTCCTTTACGAGGTGACTCATCCCGAGTGATAAATATAGTGTGTCTCCCACACACAGAAACAGATGTGGCAGGCATGTCGCCTATAGACGGTGCTTTGAGAAAGCTTCAGAACAGCAGAGATATTTAAGCTTCCTAAAATAATGTTTAACATTTCCAGAGTGCTTGGTATTTGGTATGGGGGTGGCAATATCATTCCCCCTAAATGATATGAGGCTCAGTCAGAAGTGTCCACCAAGCATATGACCAGAAACAACTTCCATGGGCTGTGCCTGAAGCTGGCAGCTTCTCTCTGTGGCACCAAAGACATGTGTACCCAGGACTTCTCTCCAGGCTTCCAAGTTGGCAAGATGTATCAGGTGATTCGTAAGACCACTTTCTGTCATCAGATGAATGAAGACAGTGTAACAAATGCCCCACACAAAATTTGCCCATGAGGTTCTACCCCATTCACAGACTCTCAAGAATAGAAACAAATAGAAACTTGTGTGCTATCATTTTGTCTATTTAAAACTAAGCCCATCCAGTAGTCAACACACTTCTGAATACCTCAGCTTAGTTGGACACTTTAGGGTGTTTTCACAGAAGCTGAATTCTCCCCCACAATTCCCCGATTCTAGATTAGCTCCATAGCTAAGCCATGAGTGAACATTCCCCACATCTAACTCTAGGCCAGGATCCCACATTTCAAAGTGAAACACACCCATCTGGACAAGCATATTCTGTTCTCAGAGGTCAGCTTTTCCCAGGAGCACCAGGAGACAGTTTTCCTTGAGCAAAGGCAGCTCAGAGCAGTGGTTTCTCTGCTTACAGACCTACCAGAATTCTGCTGCCAGGACCCACAGCCCCATGTGCACCACATGCGCCATGAAACTCTGCCAGGCTTTTTAACAGCCAAGCCTAAACCAAGAAGCAAAGGTGCCTTGTAAATTTCCACTTCAAAAGCTGCGAAGAGGTTTGCAGTCACGCCTGTACTCAGCAGTAGCTGTTGCCTGCATCACACTTTCATTTGTGGTCCCAATAGAGGTACATTAATTTATTTGTAAATTATATATGATAAACAAAGCCCAGAACATTTAAAACAATGGAATAATGATGAACTAAGTCTATTTAAAGTTTTACTAATCATGGTGGCTTTGTACATTGAATAATATTTCAAGGAAAATATGTTAGGACAAGGATCAGTGTCAACTAAAGTACGGATAAATTTTAAATGGCTTTCATGACAGTGATTTTTAGTAATTTTGCGGATTATTACTGAGCTAGCATTTTCTTTATCTGGTCTAAGAACTACCCTAACTTGGAAATGTGTTTTCAGGCCAACCACGTTCCTATAGTTCCCAAATGTCTGCCCAGTTCATATTATCTTCAATTTAAGTTTGCTTTGGAAGACTGCTTTAAGTGGAGTTTAGTAAAAGATGTATGATCAAGCATTCAGCTTGCTTAGTCATGAATATATTACAATAAATACAAAGTGGGGTCTTTTTAAAAAGGGCTTTTCATTTGTTTTCAAATTCGTTCGGGGAGTGCTAGGAATCAAACTTAGACCACAGACTTGTGAGGCAAGTGTTCTACCGAAGAGCCATACCCTCAGCACATAGCAACATCCTAAAGTAAAGGTTCAAGTGAATTCACCACAATTAGGGATACTTTCCAGCTCCCCCAATCCCTGGGCACTCTGCCATGCACCATATGGATGTAGTAAGTAGCCATCTGACATGGGTGAGTCATGAGGGAGCCAGTCTCATTCCATACCATAAATTAGGAGTGCTTCAACACTGACAGAATATTGTCCAGCCGTAGAGAGGGAGAAAATGTCTGCCACAGACACATCAGCAAGACTGGTATAAGGAATTCATACATATCCGGGCAGGGAAGATAACTCAGGGGTAGGGCCCTTGCCAATATGCAAAAAGTTCAGCATTTATTAGTGAGGGAAAGAAAAGGAAAAAAGAATTCTTACAAATCAACAAGGAAAGAAAAAGAACCCAACAAAAACAACAGTCAAAATACAGGAACAAGAAAAAGTTGTTAAACATTTGAAAAATGCTAGAAGTCATTAGTTATGAGGGAAGTAGAAATTAAAAGCACAACATGGTTTTAGTATACATAAAATAGAACTTATTAAAAATTGACTATATCGTGTGTCAGTGAGGATGTGAAGTATCCTCATTAGAACTGGAGAGATGGCTCAGTGGTTAAGCACATACTATGCTTTCAGAGTTAGGGCCCCTTCTGGCCTCCATGGGCACCCGCACTCAAGTACACACACACACACACACACACACACACACACACACACACCTCCTACAGCTTAAGAATTCCCCTCTTAGGTATTCATCCAAAGGAAATGCTGGTAGGTAAGACTTTTGATAGAAGCGTTGTTTATGAGAGCCAAAATTTGGCAACAACAAAATAATCTAAACATGACAATAATTGATTGGGCTAATTCTGTTTATTCATACAGCAGAGCAATAGACAATGTGGAAAATGAATGAACTTCCACTACATGCAATGACGGAGATCATCTTATAACCATGCCAATGAGTTGACAACTGCCAGATGCAAGAAAATATACATAAGAGATTCAAAGTACATGCATCAAATTTTTTAAGAAGGCAACACTAGTAAACGGCAACTAAGGTAATGATCTCTACTGAGTTGTAGGTGTGTGGGATCTCTGGGAGCAGAGATATGTTCTTGATTTGTTAATTTTGTAGGTGTATTGCCTTTGTGGAAATCAATCTGAGAACCTGTCATTTGTACACTTTTCAGAATATACGTCACATATATCACAAATCAAAATGAAGTTTAACTCACGTTCTTAATTTTTTAGGTAATAAGGAAAGTTTAAATTTCTTCTTTTCATACCTGCTGGATGAATTGGCGATGAGACACCACTCGTCCCAGGTGATAAAATGGTGAGTGGAACAGACTTCCTTCCGCCAGCAGTTCCAGAGAGTGTAAAAATTCTAGTCTAGAGGCAAATAAATGCAGCTCCAGGGAACATAAGACCATATTCTCATACAGCTCAGCTGTTGCTGCTTCTCAGAGAATGCAGTCAAGACCGCACTGGTCACCTTAGGAACTGGCTAAAGGGAAAGAAAAGACATGTCTGTCCTCTCAGCCTGACCTTTCTCCAGTGTCAGAACTATGTGATCAGAAGTACTGACATCTTAATTAAATATTGTTTTTATCCAACTAAGACCAACCAACCACACAGTTTTTCTCAGTGGGCACAAAATAAGCATTGCATTGCATATAAACCACTGCTTCCTTCTTGGCAGACCTCCTGTAATAACTGAAATTCTTTAAATGCCTCAAAAAGAAAGAAAAAAAAAGACCTTCCCATTCCTTTCTGCTCTTTTAATCACTAAGCAAAAATTTTGTATTACTCTCTGACCCTTGTTGATACTGTCATTAGTGAATCTATATTAATATTTATTGAGTTTTTGTTTTGTCCCAGGCATTCTGCCAGCCCTTGATAATATAATCATTGTGGGACCCTGAGACCCTCTTCATTCACCTGCTACCCCCCAATCCCTCCAGACCCCCACTAATTGCTCTTTTAGCTTCCGTAAAATGCTTGGTTGCTGCTTTAGGCATGCCTAGACATGCCCTGGCATGCCCTGACCCCCACCTACTACCCCCCACTCCAGGAAACTATAGATTAAGCAAGCCCAGGCATGAAAACTGCCCTATAAGGTAAAAACGGAGACTCCTGGCCCCACAGATAACAGTCAGCACATTCCACAGCCCTGAGAATAGCACCCACCAATAAGGAACCTCCAGGGCTGCATCCTATACATCCAATCAGTTTTAAAATTATGTTGGCGCACGCGGGCTCCTTGAACCAACCAAAATGTAACTTTGGTATCCCCCTCCTCTCTTTATCTAAAACCTATAAAATTCTCCACCCTCCCTTACTCCGGGCTCTCAGCACGGATCCGTTGCGTTGGTGAGGTCTGAGAGCCCAAGCTTAAGCCCGAATAAACCATAAACCTTGCTTTTGCATTTTGGTGTGTTGGGTCCTCGGTGGTCTTCTTGGGGTCCTATGCATGAGGTACAACAATCATGAGTTAAAAATATAAATATAGCCCTTATTCCTGAATTCTGTCTGTTGTTGCAGTTTTATGTGTTGCGTAATTTTACATAAGCTTCTTTATAAAACAACTATTTAGCCTATCAGAAATCATTTTCTGAGGATAGTGAATGAATTTTCTTTCCTCTTTCTGCAATTGTTCATCAAATTGGTTAAGTTTATCGAATGTCAGAACAAAAAAATAGTCCTTAGGGTTGTGATGATAAATGGTAAAGCCAACAAAAAGACCTTTCTCATCTGTTACCAAATACCTTTAATGACTCAGGTGTAAATAAATGAAATAGAACTCAATTTTTCTTAAATACACACAAATTTACATAATAACAGAAACACCTAGGTAAAAATGCATTTTCATTTTTAATGAAACAAAAACATTTGTTCAGAAGATGAACTTAATCCCCAGCAAGCTTTTCAGCTAGTACCCTTCCTGTTCCTCAACACTGAATGACAATTTTGGTCTTTGAAGACAAGCGTCATTTAGCAACAAGTTTGTTTACCTGACCACCTTAGTGCCTCTACCTAACACTCCATTTCTTTCTCTAAAAGCAAATTCTAGTTTAATGTATTTATAAATTGTAAATACAACCAAATTAGAAAATCCTAACCATTAGTTACCAAGTTTTATACACCCATCCAGACATCTCTTTTTAAAAATGGCTGAATTACAGCTGAAACATAAAACCACACCTGTAGATTCCACTGCAGCAGTGATTTAAAATGATTTGATACTGTTCCTGCTTTAATCGCAGTGCAGTTACTGCTGTTAGAAAATTATGCAATGAGTTAAGAAGACAGCTAAGCACTGAGGAGTTTTCCAGAAAAGACTACACAACACTGAAGCAACAATAAGCCTGGAGTTTCTTTCTTGCTCACTATGATCCAACTGCCAAATAAATCAGAGATGACAATAATTACACTCATTCATTAACACCCCCCCACACATTTGCTGTGTGCCTATCATGTGCCAGACACCATCAGGGTGTGGGTCTACCAAGTGGATTAAATGGAATGCTGTCTTAGTCCTTAAAGAGCTCACAGTCTGGTGAGGGAGACAGACACGTAAACTAATAATTACAATGCCATTTGAGAAGAGCCTAAGGTAGAGGAATGCACCTTTCATTCATTCGCAGAGATACCAGCAGGGTTGAAGGCAGGAGTAATCCTGCTGATGTGGGGTGTGCGGTGGGCAGGAGGGAAAGTCAAAGGAAGCTTCAAAGTAGATTGGAGTTTGAGGTTAAATCGAAGAGCTTGAGAAATATTGAATTTAATCATTAGGATATTTGAAAAACAGACTCAAAGTGATACAATGTACATATTTGTAGGAAACATTTCTTCTGTTCTAGCTCCACATGAGACTGTCCAAAACACTGTAACAGTTTCCTGTCTCTCACCAAACAGCATGCATAAGCTTCCGTTCTTACAGCAGTCATAGTGGAAAACAGACTTCCAGGAGAAGAAAGTTGTAAACATGAGCCTAAGGGTCAAGCTGCTGACCTCATGCTAACATCTAATTTATTCATCTAACCTTGTGCCTCTCCAAGCTGCTCAGGATCTAGAAATCTTTTAACACAAAAGGCAACAACCGAAGTTTTCACATTGTTTATTACTATTGCCACCAGCCAAAGATTCTCATCACTTTTTTCTCTTCCTGTTAAAAAGATAATATAAAACTTCTCTCTAGCTACTCCCAACCCACCATCATCTTAAAAAGACAACATTTATTCATGTACCAAAAACGCACCACCGAGACAGCTATAGTTAATCAGTGTTTAACAGTTCATGCTAAAAGAAAATGTTCGGTGCACTTACATACATGCAGGCAGTACACTCATACACATAAAATAAAAATAATAAAATATGTAAAAAAAGGAAAAGGTAATCCCTCGGGAGTAAAGATATGAACAGTGAATCCCTTATCAATTAATTAACTGAAATGAAAGCTCTAGGCAGATTCATCACTCCAATGCTCTCTCCAAGCTCACTGAGCCCTATTCCCAATCTAACCTGAACAAAAGACACTGGACTGAATTACATTTTTATGTCATTGTAATTAAATCTAGGGCATGACTATAAAGCTTTCAGATCATATATGGTCAAAATGAAAATATTGAAAACAGGCCCCCTAACAACCAGCGGTGTGTTAGACCAAGAGAAAGGTAGGGGCAGAGGGTGGGGGTGTTACCAGTTCTATGAAGCAGGTGAAGCCTTGTTATAATTAAGCTTGTTAAAGTCCCAATTTCCCTTCAATAAAACAGCATGAGGCTCCAGCTGGTGGCCAGCTGCTCCCCAGACCTTAACCACACCAAAAAAAAAGAAAGAAAAGTTTAAAGCCTGACATAATCATGTAAGGCCATATAGGTTCACCTGGGTATGTAAATGAAGTAATGCCCAATACTGAATTATCTGAATAACCAAAAACTGATTTCATCAATCAACGAATATACCTTGATCACTTTCTAAATCTCGTGCTCTACCCAGATGCACCGATATGCAAAGAACATATGGCACGGGTTTATACAGCTCATCCGTGGAAAGCTTGGATGCAGTTCAAGGCAGATAACCTTTAAGAAGCTTTATTTCTTTGGATCGAGCAATTCCTCTCAGAATATGCCCGATTTCTCAAAGTTGCATGTGAAGACAGAGAACCTGAACAGAGAATCATGAGAAGACATTATAAAATTTATGGATTTTTCCATTAACTTTTTTTCTAAAAACCGTCAAGGGAATTGATTTTAGCAAGGTTCTAAGACTGCAATATATTTCAACCAAGAACTCAACCTTTTTGCATAGTGGAGACTTCTATAAATTTGTATTTTGACCTATGATTTGGCACTCTAGAGATAGCAAATGGTTCATAGAAGTTTTCGACAAATCCTGATAGATGAGTTAAAGATAGAATTGACTGGGATCCGAGGCTGGAAAGTAGGTTCTAGGCAAAAACAGAACCAGAAAGGAAGCTGCATGGAGTCTTTGACGTGTTCTTTCTCACACTGGAAGTGACGTCTCATCTGTGTTCGTCTCACAAGGCCATAGACTCACTAGAGAGGTTTATATTTCTAAACATAGGGCATACATACCTTTAAGTCAAATCTACTCTATTTTGCTAAGTGTTTAAGGAAGTAATAAAAGAGACTTGGAAACTGGTAAGAGAAGGGGCAAGTTTCAATAAGGTAGAATCCTTCCTTCATTACCCTCTGAGTCAGTCAAGGAAAGGATAGATATTGAGTACCTATTCTGAACCAGACACTGGGAATAAAATGGATGTAGGTCTGCTGGCTTTACATAGCTTACAAATCAGTGGGGGAGACGATTACCACACATTATGTGTGACAAGATAAAGATGAGAGCACAGAAGGCACGGCAGGGGGAGGAGGGGGGATGTGTGCTTCAGAGGGCTGATGGGCTGGTGCCTGGGAGAGGACGAGGACTGGCTAGTGCAGATTTCTGGAAGACATTATTCACATGATAAAAATTGCCTAGGAGTTAACACAGCCAGGAAGCAGAATCTTAAAGGCGGAAGCAGATGCAGAAACTGAATCTCAGAATCCAGGGAGACTGGCAAAGCTGAGGACCAGAAAGATGTTCAGTATGGGTAACGATTGCAAAATGAAGCTGGTAAGATTCCGGACTTGAGAGGGAAAGAACAGCTGGATCGTGAAGAGACTTGCAAGCTTGGGAGCAATTTATCTTACGAATCCTATGACCTAAACTTGAGACTCACTAGCTAGTGGTAAGACACCCGAATGTGCCTGCCTGCCCGCACTTCCTGACTGATGAAACTAGTCCTGTTCCAAGTATTCATAGCACTGTTGTAGGGAG